CACCGCTGGAAAAAAACAACACAAAAAGCTGCTAACAAAAATAAAAAAGACGGCGAAGACGGAAAAGAAACTCGGCGGCGAGAAAATGAAAGTAACTTGGTCACAGATTCGGCTTCTAACTCGAAACGCAAAAAAGCTGCTGATTGAACAAAAAAACCCCTCACCGCTTCATTTTATTTCATTGCCCTTTTGTCTTTGCTCTGTGCTCCATTACCAGTAGCTCAGGGAGTTTCCTTTTGGGCGTATGTTCCTAATCCCCCGATTATTCAGCCAATGGGATGGTTAGATCGGGAACCCATCAAAATGTTGACAAATGATTCAGTCAGGTTGGGTGGAGCTCAAGATTCCAACGCTCAAAACAGCTCCTCCTCTCTTATAAATTTTAAAGACAGAACAGATTCACTACCAATCTGCCTAACGCTACAAGAAAAAGTGCCTTACGGCTGCTTTCCGACATCTTATAGAACCTTCCTGACTGACGGTCCAGACAAAACAAATGCTGGTAGACGATGGGTTTGGGAGCTACAGATACAAACTTTAGGAAACAAACTATATAGAGATAATTTTACTCAAGTTAATACTATTCCTATAACTCCTTACATTCAAAAATATAGAGACAAGGATCAATTTTGGGATTCTTCCTTGTCCAAGTTTCCAACTTGGTTGACTTGTGGCTTTCCTAATACTGCTGCGTGGTATGAACCACGGGGGTCGTTAGATGTGCTTAAAGTTTGGGACTACTCTAATTCTAATGACAAAAGAGAAACCTATAAAGCTTACTTAAATACTCATAAAGAAAAATTTCATAAGTATATCTTTGAGGGACATGGAGAGCCCCTTAGGCGATGGTTTTCTCCAGGCTTTGTAGAGCCCACCTGGTTTACAAAACAAGACAACATCACTAAAAAACATTCTGATTTATTTAGGCTTGTTACAGCTGCCAATATGATGCTAGAGAAAAAACCTAACCATACTCAACCAGAGGCCATCGGTCTTCGAGCCTGCGTATCCTACCCTAATGCTTTACTCTTGGCACAATCTTCCTTTGTTAATATTTCACAAGATGGTAATTCATTTCGGATAATTTGTAGTTCTTGTAAATTAACAAATTGTATCACTTCCTCAGAGCAAAAAGAGTTAAAAACTGTGATTATGGTCAGGCGACCTCCTTTTGTCATGTTGCCTGTGGAACTAGGCCCTCAGCCTTGGTATGATAATTCAGCCTAACAAGTATTAAATACTTTGAGAGATTTGATTCGGCCAAAACGGTTTGTTGCTACATTAATTTTGGACATTACTACATTAATTTCTATAATTACTACTTTTGCTATTGCAACTACAGCTCTAGTTCAAGAAATTCATACTGCTCATTATGTGAATACTCTTAGTAAGAATATTACTATGGCTCTGCTCGAGCAGGAGGCTATAGATAAAAAATTAGAGTCAAAAATTAATGTTTTAGAAAAAATGGTTTTGGCCTTGGGACAAGATATTTCTAACCTCAAAACCACAATGTTTGCTCGCTGCCATGGTAATTTTAAGTCCATCTATGTTACTCCATTACCTTATAATACTTCTCAGCCTTGAAAAAAGGTCAAGGCCCACCTACAGGGTGTCTGACAAGATACAGATATTACTCATAATCTAAATACACTTCAAAAAGATATCTCAACTATGAGTCAGGCTCATTTACAGATAAGAGGTTTACAAGACCTAGCTTCAAAAATAAAAAAGGAAATCAAAGATTTAAATCCGATGGATTGGCTACAATATTTTATAGTCATTGGAGTGCTTATTTTACTGATGATGTTTGTCATTTTTCTTTTCCCCTGTCTCATTAAATGTCTCTATACTTCCGTACAAACAATACAACATGACGTGTTCGAGCTTCATTTTAAAAACAAAAAAGGGAAAACTGCTACACCTACAGCTGTGACACCTGTGTCGCTGTAACAAAGCATGCCGCTACACTGGAGTCCAGCAGCTGAAGGGTTGAGGTTAGTGCTTCTTAGAGCGAGGCCTCAGGCGGTTCCCCCAGAATCAACAGTCGCCATACAGCCTGAGGATTCCAGGAGGCCCTGAAAGACAAGATGGCCTTGACAACAGTCCTTGTTTACACTAATCATGCTTTTTCTCTGTATGTCTTTTCTATGTCGGGGAGAGTAAATCATAAAAAAAAAAAAAAACAACAAAAAAAAACTTTAAAATGATTTGCCTTTTATGAAAAGGTTAGCCAGGACTAAAAAGCCTTGGTGCCTTTATAATAAAAAAAAAAGTCAACAGATCATAAAAAATATAAAACCAGCCCTAAGGTATTGATATAAAAGGATATATGACAATTAAAAAGATAGATAAATATATAATAATAAAAAAATAAACAAAATTATACAAAAAATATATAAGAGGGTGAGTTAAACCTTGGCTGATAAAAGTCTGGTTCTCACAGATATGGTCTTTGACGCGAGACAGATTTCACAAAATTCTGAGATCATGCCCTTAAACAACAACCACAATAAACTCCAAGCTGCAAAAGTGATACACAAAAATAGATACTGATGTACTTTGATATTGTCTACACAAAAATAAATACTGATATACTTTGCTATTGTTTTTTGCTGATTCTGTATAATTGTAAAAGTTTGCTAATTCTGTGTAATTGTAAAAATTAACAGTCTGATGTAATCCCCTGCCAAATTCCTTAATTGTAAAAAAATATAAACACTGATTTTACAAAAATAAATCTACAACAACACATCAATCCATTATGTGTCTGTCTGTCATTTCCTCGCCGATTCCTGACTTCTCCTCGAGCCTTCTCCCTGGTTCTCCCACAGTGGTGGTCTCCCTCTGGATGGTCTGCGACACTGATAGTGATAGTGAAATGTTTCATTGAGGTTTGCCAGTAATTGAGTAAAACCAAAACTTATTATAAGCCACAGTCATCCTAGTGTCCCCCCTGCTATGTAGCCTCTCTGGTTCTTTGGGTTGCAGTCTGATTGTTCTTTGCTTTATATCTAGTATCCACTTATGAGTGAGTACATACCATGTTTGTCTTGGACAGCCTTAACCAACAATTAAAAAGAGGGCTTCTAATGTACGGCATTGTGGATTTTGTTAAGTAGTCCTTGGTTCTTGGAAGAGCATTGTCAGCTCAGATGATAGGAAAGGTATGGTCTTTGGAGGAAAATAGAAAACTACCAGTTTACTAAAATAGCATAATCACTAATAAAAACCAATAAACAATTGTCTATATACCCACAGATAAGTAGTCTTCCTCTCTTCTCAAGGTACTTGGGTTCTTGCCTTTTCTTGCTTATTTTTATACTTTTTAACCCAACTCAAGTCCTAATAGGCACACTCTGGCCTATCTTCACCCACACTTAAGATGATTTACCTCATTTCCTATCTCCCTTAACAAATATGAACACTTGGACAGCTTTGAACATTAAAGAAATAAGGTAATACTCCTCCTGCTGCTGCCCAGGACACATAGCTGCAGCCATTCCATAAACTCATTAGTTCAGGCTCAAAATTCATTAAGTAGCAATTGTATTAATTTATGGAACAGGAGATAGCCTCTTTTATATTTCTGTTCTTTTTTTTTGTTTCGGACACATCAATGACTGACTGCTTGTCAAGATAATGAATAATTTTTTGTTTTAAAAACAAAACAAAATACCAATACTTAACTTTTATATTTTGCATATTAAAAACATATATTTCTGAAAATTGGTCATATTGTGTTTATTATCACATATTATATTTAAGTTATATTTGAATTGAAAGTGAAATGCAGAAGAATATGAAAAGGAACTCTCTTCTGTTAAATTTTGTTTAAAAAAACATTCCTCACTTAAAAATAATAGAAAGTGATTTTTTTAACTCCTTTTCTTCTTTGTGTTTTTGTCCTATTCAGTTTGGTTTTATTTTAGTTTACTTTATTTTTTTTAAATTATTCTTAGGATGTTTATTTCTTTTCTTTTCTTTATTTTTGAGAAAGTAGTAAAGATTTTTATTGTCAATACAAGATAACACAAATAAATTAATTTTTACAACAATCTTAGTCTCTAGAGCTTCTCTGTGAGGTTAGCTCATTATATAAAAAGACTAATATCTAAAATGATCTAGCAAGTGAATGTGACAGTGTGCAAGACCAACAGACCTGTGAACAATAAGGAGAAAGGAAAGGACATTTTCTTGCTTCTTTTCCTCAGTAAGATGTGTTACTGAACATATGAGGGAGGCTTGGTGGAAATTGCTCTCAAGGTTATCACAATAAGGTGACACTGAGTTCAGATGGACCTGAAGACTATAATGCAATTGTACCTATCTTTAACAAAAGCTTGAGCTGGGTGTGGTGATATACACCTTTAATCCCAGCACTGGGAGGCAGGGGCAGGTAGATCTTCTCTTTGAGTCTACTGAGTGAGTTCCAGTCTAGCCAAGGCTGCATAGTAAGACCCTATCTAAAAAACCAAAACACACACAACTTTAAAAAAAAGCTTAGGATTTGGGAACTAGGGTTGAAAATCAGTGGTAGAGCACTTGCCTAGCATGAGCAAGACCCAGTAAGGGAAGGGGAAAAGGAATCATTTATCAGCATGAAACTGGTAGACTTAATTAGGAGTTCATTAAATTTCATGTTAAAGTGCAAAAGACGCCATGCGAGACTAGTGTTTGTTCTGTGACATAGCAGATAGACAACCCTCCAGCTGCAGAAGTGTACAAAGTGTACACTGGACTAATCAGGAAAAAAAAAACCTGTGGTTCAACTTAAAGAGCCAGGGTCCTGCCAAGTGTGGTCATGAGCTGTACCCAGCTCTCAGACAAGTCCAGGCACACTCACAAGATTAAAGCATGTCAGAAAGCCATGGCTGTCCAAATGAGTTGGCACTTCTATCATGATTTGTAACTGCTCGTGTTGATAGTTTTGGAAGCACACCAGCATTATTTACCTAAGAAAGCGAGGGTCAAATCCTTCTCTAGGATAAATGATTTAAAAAAAAAAAGTGAGGTCCCCCCTCAGCACCACTGACATTTTCCACCAACCTGAAAGCAGTGCAAAATGGTTTCTCTCACACAAGGACAATCTGCACAACGTCACTCCAGCCTCCAGTTAACTACATCACTCCTATGTCAGAGCCCAGGGAAAGTTGCAGACCTTGGACAGAAAGCATTCTAGACGCCAGTGGGTGTGAGCACATTCAGGTCACGGGGTTTGAGATTATGGGTTCGAGGTGGTGGTTTCTTCACTTCTACCACTGGGATATCCATCTTAGGCGGTTTGAAGGTTGCTGGATCTTCACCTGCTGGTGTGGCTTGGGCATGCATTAGCTCCATAGGAGAGGGTTTCGGGGCACCTTTGTAAGCCTGGATGGAAAAACCAGAGTCAGACATCTGCAGGGGCCTCGGTCCAAAGGGGCTCCACTTTTCTGCTGAGTTCTTGTCATTCTCACTCCCAGGATCCATGGTGTGAGGATTCAGGCCTGGTAAAGCTGTGGAGGAGCCAGAGGGCAACCAGCCTCTGGACTTCTGCTTGGGCGAGGAGTAGGGGGTGCTGTTCAGGGTGGACTGGGCTGATGCAGGATGCTTCTCTTTTGTTGTCTCTCCACTTTGCGGCTTTAGTTTATGGAGTGCTTTTGCCAATTGGAGGTACTTGGTCTCCTCAGTGGTGAGGCCCTTGTGGAGTGTGTAGCCAGCATCTCTCAGTCCTGCTTGTTGCTCAAAACGCTGGATGCTCTCCTGAGTCTGTTTTGTGATCAGGAATTCATGATGACATGGGTAGCTTTAGCCTTCATCACAGGGGCCTTGTCTGAATTGTCAGTGGCTATTGATGGAATCACAGCAAGGGAAGAGACACTGGCCATTCCTTCCTCTGTCTTGTCAAGATGCTGATACTTGTACTCTGGAATCACTGGCTGTCAGGGGATGCTGCCCATGTCCGATGGAGGAGGAGTCATGGGCACAGGGTCCTCTAGGGCATCATCATAGCTGAATGTCCGGTGGCACATCCCAATGGGCAGGGACATCTTGCCTGGAGGCCCACTGGGCACAAGAGCAGGCACTTCTGGTTGTCTTGAAGCTACTGATAGACTAGGATCCAGGCGCTTTCTCTAAACAGAATTCGGAGCTGAGTCCCTGCCACCACAGTGAAATGACGCTGGACTATGCTGACAGACAGATAATCAGGAGCGTTGGCCAGCTGCTGCAAATTACCAAGCTTCCAAGGAAGAATCCATCCAGAGGTTCTGCTCGCCTGCCCCCTGAGAACTCCGGCACTAAAGAGGCTCTGAGGCTCCAGATGGCCCAAGAGGCTGTGGAGCTGAGCAGAGCAGAGTCATCGCGAAAGCTCCCCGACTGAGCGCCTATTTGTTTTCTAAAGAGAAACAAAAAGGATATGCACTCAGATGAGAGGAGAAATGGGGGATCTCAAAGGAGTTGGGGGAAAGGAAACCATAATCAGAATATATTGTATGAAAAAAAATATTTTTAATAAAATAACAATAGAAGAAAATAATGTAGCAAGATATCACTAATTATGTAATTATACACTGAGAAAAATGCAATTCAAATTTTAACGAAAAAACACATTTGAAAAGTAACATTATTTATGTATCAGAAATACAAACAGCATAAATGTTCTATTATGAAGTCATTAGATAAATAGTTTTAATTAATGTGAATTATTGCCACTTTAAGGCAATACCTAAAGACATTGCAATGGTGTTTTTCTTAGTTACTTCTCTGTTGCTGTGATAAAACACCATGATCAAAAACATCTTATGAAAGGGAGAATTTACTTTGGTCTAAAGTTTTAGAATGAAAGTCCATAATGACAAGGACCACATGGCTGCAGTGAGCTGGAGCAGGAAACTGACTGATCTCATTTTATAGGTCCGTAAGGAAACTGAAGGAGAGAAGAGGACATATGTGAGGCTATAAACCCTCTAATCCATAGTACAGGAAATAGAAAAGCCAAACAAAATTCTAAAGGGTGATTATTGCTACAAAGTACTAGATAAATAATCATAAATGATGAAGAATCTTTAAATCTAGAAAACAATGCTGGACATTTAGTATTGATGAATACCTAATGTGATAAAGATCAATGACTTTTCTCATTCACATTTAATTTTATATATGTTCTCTGGTTTGAGTATAAATTACTTTTGAAATTTGAAATAAACTGGTCTAAGAAGAAAGGGGCTTTGTCTTATTGAGACAGCTCAGTCGATAAACACACATGCACACATATTTTTTTTTTATTTTTAAGTAGAAATTCTGGTTAATATATTTTAGCATAGGCATTTTATCTTAACTGCAGAGAGATTTTCTAAGATTACAGTGGAGGGTTAGTAAGTAGACACACTCTTTATTGCTTCTCCCATTGAGAGGAAAGAATCTTTGTTTGCTGTCCTGAATCTTGAAAGATTTTAGTTATTTTCTTCTAACAAACTGGACACAGCAGGCATGCAGGCAGGCATTACTTAACACAGGGATATAGAAGTCTGTATCCTATTCTATCGTCCAAGGACTCTGCTTCCCAACCCCGAGTCATCCTTGTATCTACTTCTAGCTTAGGTTTCAGATATGGTACAGCAAACACAAACCATTCCTGCTGTCATGTTTAACTTTGTTGTTATTTGTGTTTTGAGATAGGATTTCTTTGTGTAGTCCTGGCTATCCTGAAACTCCTTCTGTAGACCAGGCTGGCCTTGAACTCACAGAGATTTGGCTGCCTCTGCTGCCCAAGTAGTACGATTAAAGTTGTGCACTACCATCACCTAGCTTATTTTATTTTTGTCATATAATCAGCAAAATATATCTACCAAAAATGAGTGCAAATGTAAAGCCAGTGTTATCACAGCTTAAAATATCTGGAAATAGTATTCTGGAAAGAGTGAAAACAGTGAGTCACAGAAGTAGGAGAAAGTAGCCTACAAACAACATGATGATCCCAGTGGACTTGTGTGAGTTGAAGGTCTAAGGAAAATTACAAACCCTTTAATCTAGGATAATGTGCTCTTATTGCGTATAATAAAAATTGTTCTCTGTGAAGATCTTGAAAAGGGGAACTTTTATCAAACAAATATAAGAAAAAATGTAATTAAAGAGGAACATGGAATTAAGACAGGAAAATTAGGTGTGTCATCTCCCTAATTAACACTTTGGCATGTCTTCTTGTTGCTTTTAAGTCAATTATACCAAGCTATCCATTTATACATCTATCTATGAAATTACCACAAAAATTTATTTAATAAAAGAAGGTCTAGAGAAGTAGATAAAAGAGTAGCATATGTCAAGGAATTTGAAATCTAAGAGCTTAGCTAGTCTGATGGAGATGCTGATCTGAATGACTACTGAAAGTCAGGAACATTGAGCTGAAGGATAAGATTGTGAAGCTGAAGGAGTTTTGGTTGTTGTTTCTGGGGTCAAAGCTACAACTTCATGGATGTTGAAGCAGTAAGCTCCATTCATAGCCCTTCTATACAGAGACTTTAAGTTATGCTAATGATTTTTGTTTTGAGAATTCAGACTATGAACCCAGGGATGAAAAGTGAACATGGGCTAGCTATCAGTAAGACAATGGGAATATTGGCACTCAAATACAGAAATAAAGTCTTATTTTTCAGGAAATGAACTTTTACATAGTTCTAAACAAATTATACTTGTGTCTTCAGCTCATATTCAACTAATTCTCTGCATTCTATTTCACAATCAGCTCTTAAAGTAAATAGCTCTAAAACAAATTCAGGCAACAGGTATATATGCAAGCCACATACCAGAAGTATTTTTAAAGATTGATTTTTGTCTACTCAAAGTTAAGAAGCTGAAGACTTCATTCATCAAATCTCAGTATATGAATTTGGTCTTTTTAGATGTAATTAGTACAGAAGCAGTCATGTTGGAGTAGGCTAGGTCTTAATCCAGTAGGTTCAGTATCCTTATACAATGTGTGTATGCAAGCCTGAATGTAGGGATGTAGGTAAGAGGTCTGTAAATCAAGAAATGCCAATGATTGACAGCAGAAACTAGGAGAGGAGCCTGGGACAGAGTCTGTCTCACATCTCTCAGAAGAAAGTAGCCCTGTCAACACTTGTCTTGAGATTTCTAGCATCCATATCTATGAAGAAATATGCTCCTAATGTTACAGCTACTTCATTTGATGTGAGGTTACAGGATCCACAATAAATTAACATTGGGTAAAGGGCTCAGTCTGAATGTCTAAACTTAATTTTCTTTTCACATGTAATCACCAGTAAATGACACAGGTATTAAAGACAGAGTATGTGAAGGCACTGAAAATGACTGTAGAACAAAGAGATATTAAAATTACAATTTCATTTTTTAAAACATTTTTATTTATTAAAAATATTTTTTTCTCACACAGTATATACTAATTATAGTCTCCCCTTCCTCTATTCCTCCTAGTTCTTCCTTACCTCCCCTCGCCTCCAGATCCACTCCCTTTCTTTCTCTCATTAGAAAAGTCTTCTAAGAGATAACAAGCAAATGTGACACAATAAAATATAATAAGCTGAAACAAAAACTATCATATTGAAGTTGGACATGGCAATTCACAAGGAAGAAACAAGTCCCAAGAGCAGGTACAAGACTCAGAGACGTACTGGTTCTCACAGTCTGGAGTCCTATAAAAACACTCAGCTAACAGCTATTCTATGTACACAGTTGAGCTGGTGTAGACTCGGTAGGCCTTTTGCTGCCCACTTCAGTCCCTGCGCACTCATGCATCTTGCTTTGGTGATGCAGAGGGCTTTGTTCTCCTGGTGTCCTCCATCCCTTCCAGCTCTTACTATTTTTATGACTTCTCTTCTTCAGGATTACCTGAGCTCTGAGTGGAGGAATGTGATGGAGACTTCCAGTTATACTCCTTCTTTGCATAGTGTCTGGCTGTGGGTCTCTGCATCTGTTCCCATCTGCTGCTGAAAGAATCCTCTGATGATGTCTGTGTAAGGCACTGTTCTATGTATATGCAGAATATTATTAGGAATCATTTTATTGATTTTTTTAGACCAGTTGTGTTTAGTTTTATCCTAGATCTATTGGCTTTCTAGTCTCTGATTCTTGGTCAGTCAAGCAGTGTCAGTTGTGTTACTTCTTACAGCGTGGGCCTTAGGTCAAACCAAACGTCTGTTGACTATTCCCACAAGTTCTGTGCCACCATTTCCCTAGCATAATATGTCGGCAGGACAGAATGTAAGTCGCAGATTTTGTGTCTCAGTTGATGTTTACATTTCTCTTTAGGTATCCTGCAGAGTACTTTCCCACACCAAAAAAGAGTGGAATGGAGGGGTGGCAGCTCCAGGTTGACTTCTCAATGTTCATTGAGCTGTGTGAGTATTGTTCTCAACCCTATGTCATTTTGTGGAGAGCAGTCTTTTGTCTTAGCAACAGTGTCATTTGGGGGTTTCCATAGGACTCCCTTAGCGAACAACTTAGTTGAATGAAATTTAGTCCTGTCACTGGAAGCCTTACCTGGCTACAAGAGATGGCCTGTTGAGACTCTATCTTCCATTACTAGGAGTCCTCATTAAGATCATCTTCATAGATTATAGACGTAGTGGAACATAAATATGCCTGTGTTGTTTATTTGTAGGTAAGAACTCAGACACTTTCGGTAGGAGTTCTGATTTTTTCCTAATGAATTTACCATGATCCTTGGTTGCTTGACTTATAGGTTCCCATGCTTCTATATATGCATTAAACTGTACAAAGTAAAACTTTTCTATATATCTAGAGTCAGCTCCATTTAGGATTTTTGCCTGCTCAGAATAGTTTCTGCTGAATAACTTCTTGCATTGACCTTCTTTAGGATGCCCAGTCTAAATTCCTCAGCCTACATCTTTATCTTTCATAAGGGAATTCAGAGCTGAGATAGTGCAAGCCTCATGTCAAAGATTTGAGGTCTAGCTCTTGGGCATCTTTGACCTACTACAGCCCCTATCCTTCTGTCCAGCTTGCCTAATTCCAATAAATTTTAGTCATCCTCTCTTCATGCTTTTGGTACAAAAATGAGATTGGATATGGATGCTAAAGCCATCCACTAAAAGAGACAGGTGCTATGTCTACAGTGAGAAGGATCTTCAATAGAGCCATACAACTTTTTTATTAAGAGACAAATTTGCTGTTTACTGCACAGTCTGATGACCCAGACACCAAATAGGACCATAATCAAATCTTGTCTTTATACAAAACAGTAGACTAATGAGGACAGATGATAATATGCTTTATAAGAAAC